AATATATTACTATTTAGCAGTCTTAAGACTCAATGCTACTACTGCTAATAAATATTAATAAATCTTTATTTTTAAAGGAATAATCACATCTGTTTTCTTTTTAATTTTAACAGTAAACCTCTGTTGTGCAGCACTTTGTTTGCCAAACAATAAAAGGGTTTAATTTTCATTTGATTAGGATAAATTAAATTAATGTTTTATGCCTTCATCTGATTACCAGAAAAATTAAGAACATTTTATAGGGCCCTATTATTGTTTAAAAAAAGGACCCTATACAAAAAAATAGGTTTAAAATACAGGCATGTGGTTCTTAATTTCTTTCACCATTTGTAAACTGATGTTTACAGTTAATTTTTTAGAAATATCAATAGCATTTGTATTAAAACTATATTCACTGAATGTAATCAAAAAAAATCGAGAATCGAATCGAATCGAGAGCTTGCGTATCGAAATCGAATCGAATCATCTGAATCGATACCCAGCCCTACTCATGACTCCACATTATAAAAGGCTTTTTCTGGGCCACTGATACAGCAGCTTCATCAAGACAAAATGTGAAAATTTTAATGAAATCGGTCAAAAAAAACAAAAAAAAGGTTCTATATGTGTGCAAACTTGCAGGAAAAATATATGACTGCACCTTTAAAGATGTGTAAGGCAGATCATAAAACTAACCTTCATCAGGGTCTCTCTGGGGGCCTCTGTTATCACGGTCATCTCTGCGGTCCCTCACGTCACGGCGTTCACGACGATCATCACGGTCAAATTCTTCACGGCGAGAGTCACGCCAACTGCTCTGCTCCTCAGCACCACCTCTTCTCCAGCCACCCCCTTCTTCCCTGAACATGCACACACATTCATATTAAACTTAGCACATTAGGACTTAACACTGCTTCTAAGCAAAACAGAATCAGTTTTTAAAAAAAAAATTGTTTTATTATAATTTGTGTGTAACCAAAATACCAAAAAAAGATTTTATGCATATCTATTCTTTACTACTTTCAGATGCTCATTCAAAAAGAAGCAAACATGCACTCATAACCATCTACAACAGATTACGATCTAAACACCATGACGTAAACATTGCTATAATTCATCAGAAGTACATCATAAGCAATTGCATGGCATAAATGTGCAGCATTTTTTGTCTGTTAACAGCTTTGAAACCACAAGCCTGAACAATATGCAACAGTTCCACGTTTTTACTTTGAAACATTAAGCGCTCACATGTCATATCCTTTTGAAGTTTAATAATCACATTAGGCCTTATGGCGATTCCTGTTTTTCCATCCCCACTCTAAAAATGATATAGACTTTTCTTAAATCATTTAAATCTAAAGAAAAAGGACCTGCTGAGACCCTTCATCAGTAGAATTCAAAACAGAAAAGCCTTTAGAAGAAACTTTTATTTTTCCATCCCCACCACTAAAAATGATAATTATAGTTTTCCATACAAGAGTAAATTGTAAAAAATAAATAAAAATAAAAAAAGTGGATTTATTTCTTTATTTTTACCTGGGAGGGCGTCGATCTCTAAATCGATCTCCCTCGTGACGGTCATCTCCCTCAGGCTCACCATCATCATGGCCAGTATCACGAGGAGGTCCCCAGCTTTCTTCCCGAGCCTTCTCTCGCTCTCTCCATCCACCTACAAAAGGTTACATGGAGTAATTGCATAAGTAAAAAAAAAAAAAAAGTCCTGCAAATGAGTTTATTATTGAAAAAACACAACTGAACTGACTATAGCTGACAAAAAACAACTTTTCACTGATTAAATACAATATAAAGGGGTCATTTTTAAAAAAGGTCCACTTATATTAATTAATGATTTGCAGCAACTAAAGTAATAATTCCTTTTCCTCCCTCTTACTCAAGTTTCCACTCATCCTTCCTCTGACCTCTAAAATAAAATTTTATTTTACTTTTGGTTTTATTAAAATTGTATTTTATTTTGCTGCTATACCTTTAAAACCAATGAAATGCTGCACTTAATAACAAGCTGTGGGTTTAAACTGTCCCATGTTTCAATTACAGATGATTGCATCACATTGCATCGTGACTGGAAAATTAGATTCCTTGTGATATGACCCCTTTAACACACATATTTGTCAACATGCCCTCAGCAAGAAAAGAAATGTAACTACCATCTGAGCTCACACCTGGTCTCCCAAGTGGTTTCCAGGGTTTAGGATCATCTCCACGACGTGGGCCAGAGTCATCCATACCCCTGCGGCCTCCCCTCTCATCATCCCCTCCTCTTCTGGGGCCCCAGTCATCATCTGCCCCACGTCGAGGCCCTCTGGGTTCATCCATGTTTCTACGGGGCCCACGGTCGTCATCAAAGCCTCTTCTTGGCCCACGGTCGTCATCCATTCCACGCCTTGGTCCACGGTCGTCATCGCCTCTTCGGGGTCCTCGGTCATCGTCAAAGCCCCTCCTGGGACCACGGTCATCATCAAAGCCCCGTTTAGGTCCACGGTCATCGTCACCTCCTCGGCGCGGACCTCGTTCGTCATCAAAACCACGGCGGAGTCCTCTGTCATCTGAACCACCACGACGAGAACTTTCTCCTCCTCTTCGGAAGGGCACTTCACGGTCACGGTCTTCTCGATCATTGTCTTCACGGCCTTCACGCTCCTCTTGACGCCATTCACTGGGAAGAAAAAAAAAAAAAAAAAAAAGATAAAATGAAATCGCAATTCTCTGCATCTGTTTTTAATCTTTTTCCTTGTGCATCAGGTTATCAATTAATGTGAAAACTCTCACCGGTCAGCAACAGGACGTCGCCATTCTGAATCACCCTCACCTCGCTTCCTCCAGCCTCCTTCTTCCCGTTCACCCCAGTCCTGGAAAGAAAATTATCCAAATTTAAACCAAGAAATAACTATATCCATTTTATATCTTGTTAAAAATAGAAGTATACATACATTTTTTTTAAAGAAATTAATACTCTTTACCAAGGGTTCATTAAATTGATAAAAAAAATATATATATTTCTATTTCAAACAAATACTGTTCTTTTAAACTTTTTATTCAACGGTAGTGTCTAGTGTATAACACATTTGACACAGGGTTCTAATGAGTTACCTTGGTGGGTTTTTCTTCTGGTGCCTTTCTTTCCTCCTCCTTGCGGCGTTCACGCTCCTCAATTTCCTGTTGACGGGCACGCTGCTTTCTCTCCTGTTCCTCCAGCTTACGCAAGCGCTCCTGGTATTCGCGTTCTTCCTCCTCTCTTTGCTCTTGTTCCAAGCGTTCACGCTCTTCCCGCTCTAAAACACACAAAACCAAGGACCAAATCAAAAATGAAAAGAGGTGAGCAAAAGTTCATACATCAAATAAGATATGAATACTTTTAAGAATGTAAACTGCATCAACTGTTAACTGAGGTTGATGAACAGCAAATAAATACCTTTCTTGAGCTGTTCCTCATGGATTCTCTGAGCTTCCTCTTCTTTCTGGCGATAGAAGGCATTTCGTCTGTCCTCCTTACGCTGCTTCTTTCGCTCCTCAAGACGCTTCTTCCTCTCCTCAACCAAATGTTCTTGGAACTGCTTGAGTTTTTCCTGGGTACATGAGAATTGTTCAAAGCTTAGCTACCTGGAGCATCAACATCCTAACCGTCAAGGACTTTATGCTACTACTAAAACTTCATCTTATACAATGTTTATACTAATTACTGAAAGCAAATTCATAATCTGTAAAACATTAACCTAATAAATTACACATGAAATTAAAGTTGATTACCTCATAAATGAAGCTTCGAGCAGCTTTAATTTTGGACAGGAAGTTCTCCTTGTCCTCCATCATCCTTGACATTCTCTGTTTGTGTTCCAGTGCCTTCTCACGCTCCATCTTCATATTGCTGATCTGAGCAACAGATAGGCACAACAACCTTTAGCTTCAATTACAATAAACAACATGGCATGATTATATTTTTCAACATGTCCTTCTCATTTAGGTGATACTAATAAATCGCTGAATCAAACTAAAACCAGACAATGACCAAGTAGGGCCTGAAGAAATATTTCAAACTACAGTTCAAGTGAAAGTATGTTCAAGTACGTGGGGGATTTGAGACTTTTTTTTTAGCAAGAAATTTAAACATGGACCAGAGGGCAAAGTAAATCACATGTAATTCTGACAAGTGCAAAAAGCAGTATGTGATTATTACCCTCTCTTCCTCCTGCAGCTCCCATAACTCCATGTCTTTGATGCGCTGCTCCTCATAGGCTTTCTTGATCAGGGGAATCTCCTCAAGGCGCTTGGCTCTCTCAAAGTAGTCAATCTGGAATATGCATAATAGTATCACTCCAGTGTAATATTCGGATATCATCTACTCAGCTGCACAGAATTAACCCTAATCCTCTTACTTTTAAAACAGTTACCAACTTAATTATTTACAATAACAAAATACTTCATGAATGTGTCATGTAAGCTATACCTTCTTTTCCTGGTTTTTCAGACGCTCCTGAAGTTCTTTCTTCTCTTTTTCTAGTTGTTCTACCTGTTTGGCCATGATGAAGTCAGGGTCCAGCTCTTCCAGATCCTACAACATAAAATTAACAATTAAATAAAAATAAACATTTTCAACTGAAAACACAGTCGACATTTCATTTTCTGGGTAACTTAAATAAAATAAAACAGTCTGGTGTGTTCTAAATGGCCACTTCCCTAACAAACTCAGTACCTCAATATCAATGTCTTTAAAGGCCTTGGCTCCCAGCTCAGTCTTCTTGATCTGCTCCAGTCGCTCACGCACTGTCTTCTTTTTGATTTGCTCGTGTTCTTGCATGATGCGCTCCTTTTCTCGCTCTTTGGCCTCCTGTCTAAGACGCTCTTCCTCGGCTTTGCGCACTTTCTGAAGCTCTGCCTCCCGTTGCTCCAGCTCCTCTTTCTCCCTCTGGATGTTGAGGCTCTCCAGACGCTCTTTGCGTTCCTCAATCGTTTGACGGCGAGCAAGGATGCGCTGATGCTCTTTGCGGGCATTCTTCAGGTAGGATGTGATGGCCTGCTGACTCTGTTCCTCATGTTCTTGCTGTGGGCAAAGTTAGAGCTGATGATGATACTGAAATATAACACTCACCAGCAGTGAGATAATTGATTAAACTTAGCAGTGGTCTTACCAGTATGGATGCCGGTTTGATGACCTGGATGGCTTTAGCCAAGGAGGATGACATGGCAGTGAGTTGATTCCGTATCTGTTCAGAGGGCATGTTCTGTAGGAACGGACCTACTGGAGAATCCTCTTTGGTAGAATAGTTCAGATCGGAGCCAAAACTCAGTGTACGAGATGTATGATCAATGCGTACCTTTTGGTAAATACACAAACTTTAAGTCACAACAATATTTTGGACAATTTGGAGATTCTGCTTGACCATGTAATTAACTACTAAGATGCTTGATTTAGGGGGCTTTCACAATGGCAATTTAGTTCGAAACAGGGCACGGTTCGCATGAAAAATCGCTAATGTAAAAGCTGTCAGGTGATACCGAACCCGAGACTACCTGAAGGAGATGGTCTGAGTTCGGTTGCACTCGAACTGTGGCGTGGTTCGCGTGAATATGAAAACATCACGGACTCGGGTGCGCACTTGTTCAGGAAGTAAAGTAATCTGCGCATGGGATTTTGCAGATTACAATGTATTTTCTTAAATAAAACACATAGGTGATGATAGTGTTGCTGATTTACCTTGGATTCTTGCTATAGTGAGCCTGAGTGTATTCGATGTAGCAAGTGCAATCAGAGCGGCAAATGAATGGTAATCCACTGTCTCCTCAAAATAGCCGTCTACATGCACCTCACATACAGTAAAACCCATGTTGTTTACTCTGCTGTGCATAATAGCACCAAATGAATAAAAAACACAATATATTGACCAACGTTCTGTTTTCTATCATGCGTTGTGCACGTTTGTGATGACGTAAGATCAATGCAAACACACCAGAGTTCGATAGAATCAAGTTTAGTGTGAAACCAGACCAACGCTGCGGGGGGCACCAGGAACAATATCGCCTGGGCTCAAACCACAGCAAACATGCCCAGTGTAAAAGCCCCCTTAGAGACTACGTGTGGAAGATATACACTAACATTTGATGACTAATTTTTTATTTTGCTATACCTGTAGGTCACAGTGCCGTGCTGCATCTACAATGGAGCGCTCCAGTTGGAAAGCATCGACAAATGGTACCAGAGATGCTAACCTGCTGAACTCAATGCTCTGGTAGATCTGAGCCACCTGGAATATTAAAACCCAGAAGACAAGATTTGACGATCTGCAGAAGAATGAAGCATGCAGATTCTCCAAGTAATTATTAAACGTCTGGGGGAAGATGATCAAATCAACCTGTTGTAGCAGTCTGAGGATGGTATTGTTCTGCAAGTGAGGAACATAATGCTGCAGGTCTGATTCTTTCTCAACTTGGTCCCTTACCCAGTTCAGCACCTAAAGCAGCAGCAGCAAGAACACATACACTGCGTAACTATGTATTTAGTGTGTGTTGATATCAAAAACACTATAACATTGAAGACTGCTGTGTCAAAATAGTCTAACAAGTACATCACTCTTCTTAATTAAGTTTATGAAAATCAGTAGCTTAAAAGATTATAAGAGTTTTAATGTTTAGCATGTGCAAATGTTTCTTTTATTTTACTGTGGATATGTACATGACTCTTATAAGTTCAGAAAAAAAAACACTGACTGGAATAGACATAAGTCACATAATATAATTCTAATGTACCACTCACTTTAGTCACTCTTCCACAAAGTTTTAGAGGGTGGAAGTCCACCTCCAACCAATTGTAGAGCTCTTTGACTTCAGGAACAACATACTGAAGCAGGTTGAATCTCACCTAAGACAAAAGTAATACCCAAGAAGGTTCTCAATCTATTTTCAATAAACCATAAATTTAAGGTAGGGCTGCACGATAAATCGCATGCGATATTTAACGAGCATCTTATCAGTAAAGCCGGTTCTGTAATCAGCGGTAAATCTCCATCACCTGCGGGCTTTCAGATTGAGCAGCATTAACTACACAGAGCCGTTGTTCACTGACGAGTTGCGCAAAACTCAATGTGAAAGCCCGCAGGTGATGGAGATTTACCGCTGATTACAGAACCGGATTTCTGACAAGATGCGCATTAAATATCGCATGCGATTTATCGTGCAGCCCTAATTTAAGGGATTACAAAAATGATCAATGGACAGAAAAGATATTACCATGTCATTGATGAGACTCTGGCGGGTGGGTGGAGACTGAAGGCCAAGCAAAGTAGCCAGTCTGCGTTGTTTCTCTACAATGATGCCATCCATGTCCAACAGACGAGCGATATCAGTACGCTCAGGGGTGATGGGAATAGACAAAGTGGCCAAAAGCACTCGAGTGGACATTCTGAATGAAACAAATAAAACACACAGCAATTGATACTTCGAAGCAAGTCTCAATCAACTAATAAATAATGAAGAAAAGTTTTCTGATTTCAAGAAATGGCTACCTACAGTACAATTACAGCAAAATTACAATACAAAACCCCTTGTTCAAGCTGATGATTTCTCTTATTTAATGCTCACCTCTGCATCTCTTCTGGGGTAAGGTTCTTGCGCATTTCCCGGGAGAGGTGATAAAGTCTGTGTAGGGTGCAGGCATGGAATAAGGCATTGCCAGACTTCCAGAATACAGTGGACACCTTATTGTAGTAATTGGCCATAAGTTGGGGTTTAGGGGGCTTCTTTGAGAGGGCAAACAATCCATGGATGTCTTCAACTGCTTTGAATGCTTCCTGTAGTGATTACAAAGAATGTAAGCAACCGGTATAATCAGCAAGTCATTAAAGTTTGTGCAACACAGAAGAACCATTAAGTGTATAGTGCAAAAAGGCAGGATGTCACTTTTTTTCTCACAAATGAAACCCATCTAATTGCATTTTATTTATCTTTTTCTGTAATCAATAGTTTGTTATTTGTTTGCATGTAAAGCACTCCTTTGCACTGTAAAAAGGTTGACAGCAGCAGCAAAAATGAAGACTATACTCAACTGAATATATTTATATTCGATTATAAATATTTATATAGTCTTTTGTATATTGGTGCCAAGTATGAAGAACAGACACCTGCCACAGCTCCATGCTAATAGCGCTGTCCAGCTGGACCAGACGTGTCTCGAGATGCATGGACTGGCTCTCGGGATTGTTCAGGTTAATGGCAGTGCTCTGGTTGTGATGTCGTTGGATCTGTCCCAGATGCATTCGCAGGTTGTCACACAGCTTACGGAACTCTGCTTTACGGGTGTACTGCAGGCAAAACTTAAACGCTGTGAGAGAATATTTTTGTTATAAATTTGTGCACAAAAGAATATACATTTTAGGTATCATATAACATGATTACCATATATAATACAATGCTCTACCAATTCTACAGGTCCATGTTCCACAATTCTACACATACAGTGCCTTGCGAAAATATTCATACCCCTTCATTTTTTTCACATTTTAAGTTGTTGCCTTATGCTAAACTGCTTTCAATTACTTTTTCCCCACATTAATCTACACTCCATACACCATAATGGTAAAGCAAAAAACAGGTTTTTAACATCTTCGCAAATTTATTAAAAATAAAAAACTTAAATGATTCCATTGCATAAGTATTCATACCCTTATCTGGGACAGTTGAAATTTAGCTCAGGAGCATTCATATTGCTTGTAGATGTTGCTACACTTCGAGTGAAGTTAACCTGTGGCAAATTCAATTGAATGGGTATGATTTGGAAAGGCACACACATCTTAAAGGGATACTTTTTGTACGCGAAGAAAACAAAAATAGATCACCGTAGCGCCATTTTGGAGAACATGAGCCGAATGCAGGCAACTTACGCTCTTCTGTGTCAGCCGCGCCACAAGGATACGTTTTCTACATGTATTTACGCTGTGATTTGAAAGAAAACAGCGACAGAAGAGCGTAAGTTGCCTGCGTTCGGCTCATATTCTCCAAAATAGCACTACGGTGATGCGGACAGACATATGGCACTTTTCCACTGCATGGTACGGCACGGTACGGTTCACTTTTTAGGGGTTTTCCACTGGGTACAGTACCTGGTACCTGGTACTTTTTTTAGTACCACCTCGGTTAGGGGTCCAAGTGAACACTTCGGTTACTATCGTAACCTCGGTTCCCTGAGAGCGGGAACGAGACATCACGGAGATATTTCTCCGTTATGGGAACTCCTTCCCTTCCAACCTTTCCTGAAGTCCTATTGGCTCCCGCCAGTCCAAATGACTGGCCAATTGACGCGAAGTATGCAAATCGCATGCAAATACTGTAGAGCTGGTCTCCTGGCCAAACTGAGCAATTGATGGACAAGGGTCTTGGTTAGAGTGGTGAACAAGAACATGATGGTCACTCTAGTTGAGCTCTATGATCATATATGCAGATGGGAGAAATCTATAGAAGGACAAATATCACTGCAACACTCCACCGATCTGGGTTTTATGTCGGAGTGGCCAAACTCAATCCACTTAAGCACACAGCAAGAGTGGCTTATAGACAACTCTGTGAACGTCCTTGAGTGGCCCAGCCAGAGCCTGAGCTTAAACCCAATCAAATAATTCTGGAGAAACTTGAAAATGTGCATTTTCTCCCATCCAACCTGACAGAGCTTGAGAGGTGAAGAGGTGAGGAGAAGAATGGCAGATAATTGCCAAATGATGATG